GCTTCCTCCAGCGAAGGGGATGGAAAAAACAACGCAACAGACACGCCTAGACAAGTTGCCACCGAGCTCTTGGCTTCCTTTCGACCCTTCCATCAGAGACTTAGGACTTGTCCCTCTCTCGATCGTTTGTATCCCCTACTACGAACCATTCATGGTGCTAATAACACGAGCAGCAACAAACTGGACGTAGGGATATTCAGCCTGAACCAGTATAAATCTTGTGTCCTTTAGCGCACCATCCGAGCCTAACGCGCATTACTATAAATTTACTTGCCGGTGCTTGTACGAAACACCGACAGTCCCGACAAAGGCCGTCACGAGGAGGTCTCTCGACGGAGGCCCGGATGAAGGTCCTGAACGTAGATCTTGAACGAAGGTCCCAGATGAAGGTCCTGAGTGAAGGGCTCGATATTTGTTCCGTGTGAGGGCTCTGCGGAGAAGGCTCCATGACGGAGGCTCTGCGGAGAAGGCCTTATGACCAAGTCTCCAACTCGCAAGAGGGGAGAGTGAGGCGACGTCTAGGGTTCGCGAAAATGAGTGGGAGAGGAGAGAGCCCCCTTTCCTCATGCTCTTGGCGTTATATATAGGCAACAACAATTTACAAGCGACTCCTCGGTGGGGGTGGAATTGACAAGTCACTACGCTAACTTCTATTGGGCCTCTTCGAGGGGGAATTGGCCCATGTGAATATGGGCTCCCCCAACAGTAGCCCTTCAGCTACTAGGTTATGGCCGGTACTACATGACCTAGTAGATGTTCATGCAAGAAGAGGCACAATACAACTTGAACCTTGGTTGCGAGGACCACCCTTCACAACTCACACGTGCATGCCACACTAAAAACTCCATCCCAAAAACCCTATGGGAAAAAAGGGCATGGAGAAAAAAGCACGTGCACGACTCTAACCTATACATGTTCTAATTCCGAAGGCATCTACCTCTAAATGCCTTGTTCTTCCGGATGTCTTCACCTTTGGGGTTCGGCTTCTTTCTCCACTTCTATGACATGGTTCGTTGGCTTTGCCTGGCACGTAGGCCTTCATCTTCAAGGCCTTCTCCTCCAACACCTTCTCGATGCACAGGTCTTCAGCTCTGGGGTCTTCTTGGCATGAAGGTTTCTATCTTCGAGCCTTCTCGGTGCGGAGGTCTTCATCTTCAAGGCCTTCCCATCGCGGAGGTCTTCCTCTCTGGGTCTTCTCGACGTGGGGGTCTTTGTCTTCGAGGCCTTCTCGGCGTGGGGTCTTCATCTCCTAGCCTTCTCGGCGTGGATGTTTTCGTCTTCAAGGCTTTCTCAGCGTGGAGGCCTTCATCTTCGAGCCTTCGTCTTCAGTATCTTCTCACAAGCGCTGGGCAAAATAATCTTTCTTCTACCTTGTTTACTGAAAGTTCGAGTGGTTTTTGAAGTAAAAACAAACTTGCTTTCTAGTTCAGAACACGTATATACCTCTAATGGTCGTATTGGATGATCTAGGTCTCTTTGGGCCTGGTTGGTTGCTCATATGTCCTTGGCCTGCTCATATCATATTAGTGAGCCAGATGATGCATATGCAAATTCATATGTTTGGTTACCTATAGGCATGTGGCCTGGTTAAGTTACGAAGTTGTTTGGTTGCTCACATCAGTCAAACAAGAGAGTTTATTTGGTTTCCAGCATGCATAGATGTTATGGTAACCTGCTGGTTGATATGAGAATAGCACCACTGTCTGTGTAAGTTGAATAAGAAATTGATACTAAATAATCAAAAAGTCTGGGTTATTTGAAGTATTGAACACTAAAAACACTTATACGAATATAGGACTACCTCTGATCTCTAAATGTGAAAGAAGGCTTGCTGCTACTTCCATGTTTCTCTCACAAGCTAGCAGATTGGAAATCACTAATGCTGTTCTTACAGCACTTCCTACCTTTCATTTGAGTGCACTTGCCCTGCCTAAAGGAGTTCTCAAACAAATTGACAAGTTCAGAAAACACTGTCTTTGGAGAGGTGCAAACATCAATTCCAAAAAAGCACCAAAAGCAGCCTGGGAGATGGTATGCATACCTAAAGAAGAAGGGGGTCTAGGAGTGATTGATCTGAAAAAAAACAATGAGACACTGCTCCTGAAAAACTTGGATAAATTCTTTAACAAAAAAGACATCCCTTAGGTTTCTTTAGTCTGGGAAAAGCAATACTCAAATGGCAAGCTTCCAAATCATACCAGGAAAGGTTCTTTTTGGTGGAGAGATCCTCAAGCTTCTCCATGAATTCAAATCCTTCAGTATAACTCAAGTTCAAAATGGTAAGACATGTCTCTTTTGGTCAGATAATTGGATTCAACAGCCTTTAGAACTCGAATATCCAGAACTATTCTCCTTTGCCAGAAACAAGGAAATCAGTGTGGCTAAGTTCCTGTCTCAGCAGCATCTTCCAGAACTGTTCTTTTTGCCTCTGTCCTCTGTGGCTTACCAACAATTACAAGTGTTGCAATCTTTCAGGGATCACTTCCCGTTGACTGACCTGGAAGGTATCTGGTCCTCACAATGGGGTTCCTTTTCTGTCAAAAGGGCTTATAACTACTTGATTGGTCACAGGCAAATTCCGGCAGTTTACAAATGGCTTTGGGATTGCTTTTGTCAACCTAAAGACAAGGTGTTTTTTGGCTGCTGTTAAATGATCGTTTGAGCTCAAGGAATATACTAAGAAGGAAAAATATGCATCTTGAATCTTATAATTGTGTGCTTTGTCAGTTACAATCAGAAGAAACGGGGGAGCACTTATTCTTGGGTTGTCAATTCGCCAAGGATTGATGGGCCTTAATTGACATCACCATTCAAGATGACCAAGATATAGTTTCAGCGGTTGACCAAATTAGAGTTCAGTCTCACCCTAATTTTTTTTTCAATGGTAGCAATCCTCATGTGTTGGGCAATTTGGAATGCGAGGAATGACTTCATTTTCAAGAATAAGCAGCCGAGCATTGATGCAGTCAAAGCTCTGTTCCAAAAAGAATTGAGAAGCCTTTTCCTACGGGGTAAGGTCCAGACTTGCACACACTTTTGATCTATGGATCCAGAATCTGTTGTAATCTTCCTTTTTAGTTTTATTTTCTTCCTGTTTTTTTTGTTTCCTAAGCTCTCTTTTGCTTCTCTGTTCTGTTTTGTTCTGTACTGTCTTTTGTTTCTAATAAACTAGGTGAATACCTCACGCGTTGCCGTGAAAATCGCTAATGATTTGGAATAAAATTACTTGTACAAAAGGATCAACAATTATAAGTTAAGGTTGGTGGATGACGTGGCATGCTGATGTGAACAACTAAATGCATATTATAGGATGATGTGTCTGATATGTAGATCATAATTGTAAATGCTAGTTGGTCATAAATGCATCCGATAGTGGACTGATTAGATGGACAGCTTGCATGTTTAGAGAAATAGCTAGTGAGGTTTAGCTTTATCAACAATTATAAGTTAATGTTAGTGAAGGACGTGGTACGCTGATGTGTACAACTAAATGCATATTAGTGGATGATGTGTCTTGCTGATACGTAGATCATAATTGCAAATGCTAGTTGGTCATAAATGCATCCGATAGTGGACTGATTAAGTGGACAGCTTACATGTTTAGAGAAATAGCTAGTAGGGTTTAGCTTTATAGAGTTTATAGATGCCTGTAGGCCCCTGATGCCTCTCCAGTTTCATAAAAAAAATATAGGACTGCCTACTATCAACTCCCGACCGGTGCATTTAACACTAAATACTAACATTGTATCAGTGAAACTGATACAACACAGTAATTGAATGAACCTTGAAAGTACAGTCATACCAATTATCCACCACTGAGACAAAACTTAAAACAAAATCAAAATTCATTGAGATTCAACACAGACAGATATTAGCTTTACAAGTGCTGACGCCATGAGCTCAATTTATTTCTCTCTCCAATAAATTTAGCGAGTTAATAACCTAAGTAGCGACGTCCATTTATTTCTCTCTCCAATAATTTTCTATATTAGCTTTCTCAATAACTTTGCATTAAAAATTTCGAACTATTTCTAACCAACCAAAACCTCTTTTAATATTGTTTTGTCTTTTACTATTTTCTCACCTACCCCCTCTGCCCCTAAAAAGAATCGCTATGGGAATCGTGCTGGTCAAACTTGCTCAACTTTAACTAAGTTTGTAGAAAATACGTGCAATCTACCTAATGATACTAATTATATATTATAAATATTAATATTTTGTTAAATATATTTGGTCAAAGTTAAAAGTTGTTAACTTTTTGGAAAGCGAAAATGACTCTTTTCTAGGGACAGAGAGAGTACAACTAGACCCTTTATTTTCTTAATTTATTACTATGCGTCTAATTTACTCTGATCTCCTGATAAAAACATCATTGAGAAGCGGATATGGCGTTCCTCTCGACTGTTTGAAACTTACGATTTACATTTTTAAGAAGCTCTTTTACAGTACTGTAAGAGGATTTTTTTTCCTTTTTACTAAACAATTAAAATAAGGAGTTGTTTTAAAAACTGCTGGAGATGCTCCTATAGAGGGATGTATGTAAAACTGTCCTCACCTATCCATCCAATCCATATAAATATAATTTGACAATCCAACACATTAACTCCATTTTTTTAGGGGAAACTCCATTTTTTTAGAACCACACATTAAGTCCATTTAAGCCCAATCCACTGGCAGGTCTAGATCGTGGGCTGTGCTCTGTGGCTGATAAAGAAAAGAAAAATCAAGTCGGCGAAATCGCTGGAACAACCGGCCTAATAAGCCCAAAAAAGCCCACCTCAGTCCAACAGGACAACAACACCCTTCTTCTCCAATCTTCCTGTCTCTCCCAGCCTTCCATAGTGCGATCCCCTTTCCCTTCTGGAACTCTCGCACACATTCCGTCGCTTCACTTCCCGTTTCCGCTCTTCCTCGATCCTCACCGCCGCCCCCTCCTCCAAATCCACCGCGGCGCAGCCCAAACCCCCAACTCCCATTCCCCGCACGCGGGCGAGATCACGATGCGGAGCTCCACCAGCGCCGCCGCGACGCCGCCGGCGTCACCGGCCCCACCGGCGCCGACGAGCCCTAAGCCCGGCGCCACAAAGCGGCAGCGGAAGTCGGTGCCGCTCGGCGACGTCACCAACCAACTCCTCCGCCCCGAGACCCCGACCCCGATCAAGCCGAGAAGGACTGCGCGCCGGCCCCTCCCCGCGCCCTCCTCCGCCTCCGCTGTCTCCTCCTCCACCTGCCCCTCCTCCGCCTCGGTCACGCCCGCGCTCAAGCCGTCCTACTCCGCGTCGGCCACGCCCGCGCCCGAGCCGCCGTCCTCCTCCGCGTCGGCCACGCCCGCGCCCCAACCGTCGTCCTCCGCCACGGTCACGGCCGTGCCCAAGCCGTCCTCCGCCGCCTCGGCCACGCCGGCGCCCGAGCCGTCGTTCGCCGACACGGTCACGCCCGCGCCCGAGCCGTCGTCCGCCGCCACGGTCACGCCCGCGCCCAAGCCGTCCTTCGCCGCCGGTGAGGGAATCTGCATCTCGCATCTGCGCTTGATCCGCCGCAGCTGGGTGTGGTGGGCGCATCCTCGGTCACCATTGTGCTGTGATTTCTAATCCTGCTTTTGGTTTGCAGTCCTCCTCGAGGAGGAAGGGAGCGTGTTCGAATCGCCGACCATCTGCACGGTTTACGCGAGGCGCAGAACTACCGAGGCTGAGGTTGAGGGACGGAGCAACCCCACCATCATCAACAAGGGCAAGGAACCCGTCGGTGCTGCGGCGAGTTGCCCCCCTCTTGGAAAATCTACAAGGAACATCAGGTGAGATAATCGTGATATGGCCCCATTTTAGCGTCACCACGGCTCCGCTATTTAATTTTTTACGATTTGGACATGGTTAGTGTAGTGGTAGGGATATGTTCAATTAAGCCCCATTTTAGTGTCACCCCGGCTCTGCTATGTACTACCTCTGTCCCCAAAAGAATACAATTTGTCACGTTTTAGTAGCTTAAGTTTGACCAATTATACATAAAAAATATCAATATTTATGATACCAAATAAATACCATTAGATTGATTACGAAATGTATTTTCATAATAAATTAATTTGGAGCTATAAATATGAACAACATTAACCAGAAACTTGGTCAAACGTGAACCACTTTACGTGGCACGTAACCCATAGTTGCATTCTTTTGGGGATGGAGGTAGTAATTGTTTGTGATTTGGACATGGTTAGTGTAGTGGTAGGTCATTTTGTGGGTGTCAGAGACCTCTCCCTGTTTTTGCTTAGTGTGAAAACCAGATAGCTGCTGTTAAATTTCAAAGACGTACTCCCTCCGTCCACAAAAGAATGCAATTCTCGCATTTCGAGGAGTCAAAGAGTTTAAACTTTGACTAAAATTATATGAAAAAGTACTAACACCCATGAGACAAAATAGATACCATTAGATTAGTTATAGAATATATTTCATAATAAATTTATTTGGAGATATAAATGCTAATATTATTTACTATAACCTTGGTCAAACTTGAGTCAGTTTGACGGGCACGGTTCCCATAATTGCATTCTTTCCTAGACGGAGGGAGTACATTGGTAATTGTTTGGGGCAATCAAGTCAGTTCATATTTGAAAGGGCAGAGTCATACCGTAACCTGTAAGTGTATATGATTTTGCGCAATGCTCATTCTCCTGATCACCTGAGAGAATTAATAAGTTGTTACTTGAAAAGGGCACGGCCTTAGGATCACCGTGCATCACTCTTGACATAGTGCTGTATCGTGTATGCATGTTGCATAATATCATTGACCATTTATTTAGTGCAATGCTCAGTTCCAAGGCGCTGGTAACAAGAGTTTAGGCCCTGGTCATCCCAGACTGAGATGAAATCTTTCCATTAATGTTATTTTCAGATGATGGAATTGCTGTAATACTCAATATCTTAAACGTTTGTTGTAAACTGACATATAGCGATATAGGGAGTAGATCAGAAGAGATTGTGTTGTGAGGTCTTTCACATTTCTGTTAGAATAAGCACACCATACATCATATAGTGTCAAAACTTACAAGCATAGGATATTCAGAATTCAGGACTTCAGGTATCCTTTTAGTTTATCTTATTTCATTGATATCTAACAGTTACAGTTTATCTTATTTCATTGATATCTAACAGTTACAGTCTGAGTGCATTTCATTTACTGAACTGTTAAACTCACTTGTCTTCAGGAAAAAGGATACTCGGCGCATCTCTTCGTCAGCTCCTTGCCATGAAGCTAAAAAGGTAAGCAGCACCGCAATCTGATTGCATTTCCTCATGACCCTACCAAATTCTCTGTTATCAAGGCTTGTTCCGTTGCTCTCTTTAGGGGTCTGCACAATGAGATTACCATCACAAACTCATGATCTTTTTCAAACTTTATAATCGGGTAGTATTTAACCAATAGAGCTTTACCCACAATAAAGTCTTGTTAATGTTTCGCTTCTGTCCATCTTTGCATAAGTGCATCTATTCTGAAACGTTTATGCGAAACACCATATAACAATATGATGAGATGAATGTTTCGAAGGTTAAATACTGTAGTTAAAGCTGCATTTGGAAGAGTAGCTCTGCTCCTTATGATGGCCATTACTTTAACTTTCTGATTGCTTACCATTCTGGGAACAGAAGCGGCCCCTTGCAAAGACACCCAAGTTACCAGAAGAATTTGTGAAGAAGCAAAAAGCATACTTTGCAGATGTGGATGCCTTTGAACTGGCAGAGGAAGAGGTATCAGAATCTGAGCTGGAGTGAAAACTGAGAGCTGAAGCTCCTCCTATCCTAGAACACGTGGCCTTTCTTGTACATAAGTAGTTTACTAGTTTACTAGAATTACTTTTACGATGGCTAAGGTATGTTAGCAATGTATAGCTAGCTCTGTTTGTAACACGGGGGCAAACCACCCACCTTGGTGATCGCTGGAGAACGCCTCGGTATAGGCAACTACTAACGTTAAGAGTATTGTGCAAACTTGTAGTTGTAGCATAGTACTGCTGATACCAAGGTCTGAGAGGTCGAGATAGACTTCCAACTGTATGGGAACATAAGGGTTGGTTGGGACTTGGGACAGAACTAATCGCTCGGTCTCTTTCTGTTTCATCAACAAAGTAGCTCTGGATTATATTGTGTGTGTAGTTCTCTTTTTCTATCAAGTTTTCTTCTTGTGTTGTTAGATCCTGGAGTTTGGTGTTTGATTGTTAACAAAGCCTTTGCAAATGTATGGCAGGGCAGTAGTACGATGTGTGTTACTGAATAGTCTGGCAGTGTGGATGATTGGTGCGTCCGTGCGTGCCACTGAACTAGTGTGCACTGTTGATTTTTTGCAGCATACTTGGCTACATGTCTTATTATATGTTGGTTTGTGGAGCTAGTGCTTGGTAAGCGATACTGATATGAGTTGGTGGTGTTCCAAGTCGTTGGCTGGAACTGGAAGGATGGATGGATGGGTGGTGGTGGTAGCAGGCAGGATCCAGACATCCAGGAGTGGTGCTCCTTGACTCCTTGTGTCTTGAATATCTTGGACGACAGGACGCTGTGCTTGTCTACGTGGAGTCGTCGGGCTTGCGCGCAGGACTGGACTGGATCGAACTGCGTAGCGTGCACAGGCGGCGGATCGCCTGCCGGCTGCCGCGGATGTTCAGGCTGCGGCCTGCGGCTCGACGGCGATGCGCTGAGTGCATCCATGGCACGGCCAGCCGGAATCTCTCCTTGTCGGAACGATTAGAACTTCATTTCACGCAAAATGGAAAACAATAATGGTGTTGTTCGTTTATGCTGGTTTGGTTTATAAGTCATGGATGAAAGTACCGTTGGCTGGTTTAGTGTGAGAGAAAAATACTGTTCGTTGGCTGATAAGCCATGCCTTACAAGTCAAATATGACCAAGCGAACAAGCTAAAATTTGATGATATATTTTATTATATAGCTTAGTGATTAGGACAGGAGGAAGTGCGTCGGCTACCTACTGGCCAGCGGATAGCTGACAGAGTTTCATCATCCTCCGCGGGGCCGATAGTCAGTCTGGGCGTTCGGTTTTAACCGACAATTCGGTTCGGTTAATTCGGTTATTTAAAACTTCGGTTTTCAGACTTCAGCCCCCGATCGGTTCTCCAGAAAACAGGAAACCGTAGAATTCGGTTTTGATTTTTTCTATTCGGTTTTCGGTTTTAACCGAAATAACCGAAACTCCAGAAAACAAGCTTACAAGCTTACATAAATTCAAGCACTCCAGAAAACAAACTTACAATCCTCAAATGGTATATTAGTACAGTGTATGAATTCAACAAATCAACAAGCTTACATAAATTCAACAAATCAACAAGTTTACAAGCCTCAAGACAAGTAGACAACAGATCAGTGCTGAAGTACAGAATAGAATTACATAGATTCAAGAGTTCTTCATTATTCAAATAGAGAAGTAGCCGCAGGCCAGCAGCAGCATCATATGCCAGGATCCATTCCATACACTGATACACCAAGACACCAAGTGGGGAGACAAGTACTGGACAGAATCACATTTGAAGTACTACAGGTCTACAAGCATCATATGACTAGAGGTCTGGAGGCTGGAGCATCAGCAGTCCACGGTCCTGCAGCCATCAAGTGATCTCAGTGACTCAGTGTCTCAGTTAGTGAATCTCAGCAGTTCAAGAAATATTAAACAGATGAATGTACCTTTTACCAGGTGATCAGGAGTCAGGACTCAGTAGCTGTAGTAGATTCCTTAGAAATGGACAGGCCACCAAGTTCTAAAATAAATAAAGAATAGATGATCTAAGTTAGTACAGTGTATGAATCATGATTCATGAAGCACATTAGAAGCAACTAATAATTTAATATGTTACCTTCCTCAAGCAAAAACATTTGTTCGCTGTCCTCTTCAACACTAACATAGTTTCCTCCACGAAGCCAATCATTTGCACAAACGAGGCGCTCAACCCTTTTTGGGGTTAGTGAGGTCCTAAAGTCATCAAGAGTTCGGCCACCAGCACTGAAGGCTGACTCAGAGGCAACTGAGGTGATAGGAATCGCCAACAGATCACGGGCCATTCTAGATAATATTGGGAATCTTGTTGAATTAGCCTTCCACCACTTTAGAATGTCAAATCCTTTTGTGTCCGGCTCATTATCTTCTGATAGATACTTGTCTACCTCAGATTTGACAGTTCCACCCTCACTGTTAATCTGCTCAGTAATTACTGACATCCACCTACTCACTCTTGTGCTGGTTTCAGCTGATTCAGATTCAGTAGGTTGTGGTGCCTTATCTTTTGGGGCATACATTTCCTTGTACTCTTCAAACAAAGCACGAAAATAAGTGTTCACTGTATCCCACAGCTTTTCTCCTATTGTATTCCTAAACATTACCTTAATTTCCATTCTAATGCATTTTGAAAGTTTGTATCTAAGATCAATAGCAACACAGAAGAAAACAATGAAGTTGAGCGGTTGATCCCCCTTATCTTTCTCTCCTCTCTTCTCTCTGTCTCCCAACCTCTCACCATACTTATCTCCCCAGTACTTGTAGTACTTCACTAACATTCTCATACCCATTTCCTTACACAGGTTGTCTTCACTATGACACCATTCTCTCAGCAGAAGTAATACATCAGCAATCTCATGAAAATAAGTGTGAGATGTTGGACGACTTTGTACAGAAACACGGAGAGTGAGGTCATAAAAGTGTTCAAGAAACTCAGCCATCTTCCTAGCCTTATCCCAATCTGTTTTTGTTGGTACCCCTGGACCATTCTCTCCTTCTAATTCTAATTTGTAGTATGGGTCTTCATCACTATATCTTTCAAATGCTTTTTGGTACTTCTGTGCAGCATTTAACATAAGGTAGGTTGAGTTCCATCTAGTGCAAATATCTAAGTTAAGAAATGCTTTGCTCTGTACCTTGGCTAACTCAGCACATTTCTTAAATTTTACCAACCTAGATGTTCCACACCTGATAAACTTAACAGCAGCACGGACACGCTGAATTGATATATCAATTTCCTTCAACCCATCACCTACTATTAGGTTGATAATGTGAGCAGCACATCGCATATGCAAGTACTCTCCTTCAGCAAAACAACCTTTTGACTCATTCAAGATCCGCCTCACATACTTAATTGCGTTATTGTTTGCACTAGCATTGTCTACTGTTATTGTGAAAACCTTGTCAATGCCCCACTCAGCCAAACAATTCTCTAATGATTTCCCAATGTCCTCCCCTCTATGGCCCTTAACCAAGAAAAAACCAATAATTTTCTTCCTTAGGTTCCAGTCATTGTCGATAAAATGGGCTGTAACACACATGTAGTTTTGGCTATTCTTTGCAGTCCATGTGTCAGTTGTGAGGCAAACTCTTTCACAATTTTCCTTAAAAAATTTCTTAAGCTTTTCTTTCTCATCTTCATATACTTTAACACAAGCTCTAGTGATTGTTCTTCTAGATGGCAGAATAAATCGTGGACATGCTTCTGCCATTAATTTCCTAAGACCAGAACGTTCAGATAACATAAATGGTTGTTCATCTTCAATTATCATCTCAGCAAAAATCCTTCTAAGTTTATCAGGATCAAATTTCCAAGTGGTTACATTACCCATACTACTAGTGCCAGCACATGGTGTCAGTTGCAAAGTTGCTTGATTATCAACTACTGGTTTGTTTGGATTCTTTTTGCAAATCTTCAGATGAGCTTTCAAGGATGACGTACCATTTGTTCTTGAGCCACAATGAAACAGCTTTTGACACCACTTGCACTTGGCTCTCTCTTCCCCATTATCAAGTTTGACCTTGCTGAAACTATCCCATACATCGATCTTAGAGCCATGGGTTTCCTTTTCCCGGATTCTTCATCCGCTTTCTCCATCCTTGCTCTCCCCGCTGCTCCTTGCTTGCATCTACCACTCCAGTCGTTGACGCTCCAGCTTCAGTTTCTTGAGTTTGAGTCTGATTAATCTCACAAGCAACAGTTTCATCTGTGTCCCCCATCTAGAAACAAAATGTTTCAAATCAGGAATTAACAACAAAGAAGGAGAAGAGGAGAAGACCAAGAAGAATTGAAGCTCGATCTAAACTTACATTGGAGGATTGCTCTGTCCCATACCGCCGTTGTCTTGGTCGGAGAACTTCACGAGGGTGTTGCCGGGCGCCTGGCCGCCTTTGCCGCCTCCTCCTCTCAGTCCTCGCGAGGCTTCATTGCGCTCTCGACCTCCTGCCTCCCCTTCTCTCGGCTGGCTCGCCGTGACTGCTCCGATCGCCACGCCACCGCCGCCACTCGACGATTTAGGGTTAGGGATGAGCGCTGGGGCAAGGTGGCCGCTTCTCTGCTACCGAGCAAGGGATGGCGGATGGGGGTTTCCTACTTTCCTTTGCGTCTTGATGGGCCGTCGAACTATGGGCCGTGAGGGACTGAGGGCGTGACCGCATGAGGGCGTGAGGCGAGTCAGGCGACGGTCGTCGACTTTACTCGGACGGAGGTGTTTCGTGTTTCAGCTTTTCGTCTCGCAGTATCAAGATTGTTTGTTCGGTTCCTCGGTTTGGTTTGAGAAGAAACCCGAAGCCAAAGCCGAACACCGAACAGTGCAAAACCATAAACCGAACCGACAACAAAAAACCGAACAAACCGAAATTTCGGTTCGGTGCGGTTCGGTTCGGTTCGGTTTTGCGGTTTGCGGGTAAAAAGTGCCCAGGCTGAGCCGATAGGCCCATTGGCCTGATATGACCCACTTTGTCGTACGAGCCAGCCCCTGGGTGGCCGATAGGGACCGGTCGGCTATTGAGTGGCCGACAGGATACTAGATTTGCAATTCTTTTTAATAAAGGCTACATTTATAATTAATCATTAGAAAAATATTATTTTAAAAAAATCCTATGTGGATCTGCATTTGTGTGTTTTTTAATGCCTTATCCCTTCAAGTATAAGCTGTAGTATCTGAACTTACGCACGGACACACATCTGCATCTGTGTTGGGCTTTTAATTTTCTCCTCCTGGGCCCCAGGATATAGATAAAATTATATATAAGCGTTACGAACAATTCATGGCAGGCACAAAATAGAACCACATAAATATCTATCTCGTTTCATTTCATGTCTCTTAATAACCTTTCATGAGCCCCATTCGGCTTACCCCGTATTCAGCTTGTTCGGCTTATTTTTTCAGCCGGAACAATATTTTTCTCTCACAACAATTCAGCCGGAACAGTGTTTTTCAGCCAGTTTCAGCCAAGATTCAGACCAGCGAACAGGGCAAATTGATACTCCCTTATTAACCCATATGGATCTCATTTACTCCGTACCAGGCTACAGAGTACATAAAATCAAATTTGGCAGCAAATAAAAAAGAGATATGACGTATTATATTTGCCTCTTCTTTACATCAGCTGCAGTTGCACCTGCCAAATTTATGTATTAGTATATATTACCAGTACACAGCATACAGTACAACAGCATTAATTTTCATGATATATTGTGCTCTAATAATATGTATATGAATTGATTGCTAGTGTTCAATCCTCAAAATATTTATATAAATAAAGAAGGAAGCCAATAATGTTCTGTCTGAAAAAAACACAATTTGTTCATGAGTTCTTACCTCTCTGTAAAAAAAAGAATGCAATTCTAGATTTCAGAGTAGTAAAACTTTCTCTAGTTTAACCTTTTTATCTGTAGGAAAAAGTATCAATATTTATTTCTCGATATAGATTTTCTATGAAAATATATTTTATAATTAATCTAATAATACTTATTTAATATAAAAAATATTAATACTTTTTCTCTTGTAGAGGCGGTCAAGTTTAAAATTGTTTTACTCCTCGAGATGTGATAATTGTATATTTTTGGGGTACACAGGGTGCCTGTTATGTGAACCTTGGGTACCCCTCAACGCCTGGTGAAGGCCCCAATACAGATGGGGTGGGCCGATGCAGGCGAAGATGAAGTCCAACCCAAACAGGGTATGTTAAGGACTTAGAGGACCAAATTTACATAATAAAATAATAACATTGATGACACCAAATAAGTATCATTATATTCTTGTTTAATTATATTTTTATAGTTTCTCTATTTGATGTCATAAATTTTTATAATTCTTTCTGTAACTTTGATGAACCTTGAGATGTTTTGACTTTCAAGAAAGCTCGAATGACTTATAACTTGGAACGGAGGGAGTATAAATGTTTTCCTTGTGTTGTCAGTTCCTAGAGTTGGGTGTTGAGCGTTGACATTCAAAGCCATTGCAAACATATGGCAGTAGTACGTACGATTTGTGTGTTACGGAATAGTATGTCGGTGTGGATGGTGTGTTGGGTGGAGTGTGGTGCGCGTGTGCCATTGAACTAGTGTGCTCTGTTGATTTGTTGCAGTGTACATGCCTTATTATGTTTGATTTGTGGAGTTACTTGGTAAGCGATACTGATATGGGCTGGTGCTCTTTAAGTCGTTGGCTAGATGGTTGGATAGTGGTGGCATCAGTCTATCAGGATCCATACATGCAGTAGTGGTGCCCCTTGACTTCCCCGTTCGGCTTACCCCATATCTGGCTTGTTCGACTTCTTTTTTCAGTCGGAACAGTATTTTTCTCTTCCAACATTTCAGCCAGAACAGTGTTTTCAGTTAATTTCAGCTAAGATTCAGCGAGCCGAACGGGACCAGTACGGGCAGCCGTCGGGCGCGCATGACTGAACTGGACCTTGCTCCTGCAATGGTGCTGGGTAGCTAGAGCATACACCGAGGGTGCCGTACTGCCAGTGAACCTGCCTGTGTAGACTAGTGCTGAGTCTCCGTCACGTTGGAGATGGACGAAAGACCCAGAGCTGCTGCTCCTTTTTCTTTTTCTCTGCAACTTTGATGTCAGACAGATAGATGCTCTGTAATTTCTTTCTTGATGATGACAATTGGTTCCTCTGTAATTTGGGCTGCGCAGCACTAGCAAGCACCCAAGATTAGTCGTCGAAAGGAGCAGCCATTTCCTTGGCTCGCCACTCGGTTTGTGCTTTACCGAATTGCCGTTGCCACCACTCGATCTGTCTCTCAAGCTATCCAAGTTTCAGTTCCAGTGCGGCAGTCTGAGTCCACAGGCATGCACGGCGCGCACTAATCCGGCCGGTCCATGGGGTGCAGTGCAGCCGTATCATCCATCGATAGGTACTGCCATTCTCCCTCTGAGATTGAGCTACAGTCTTTCCTTCCGTGTGGACACGGGCAACCATGAGAACTTGAGAAGCTTCCGAGGTTTGGGGCATTCCCAGGCACGAAACATGCATGGAGTAGTTTCTTGTTAGTGCTGTCTTTACTCTTTTATTTTAGGCTAACTCTCTCACGCAGGCACGCTTTTTTATTTTAATTAATTAATTAATTAATTACGAAAAGAAAGGAGCCTCAATTGCCAAACGTGGCTGTTCCGCCCAATTTGGTTGACAAAAGCAAGATTCGGGAGAATCGAAGTTGTTCACACCTGAGGCTACGACCAAACTCACTATTCATGCTCAGGCCTCACTCATCTGGCATCTACAATACAACCACTTTGTTTTGGAGACAGTTTGTTGGCGTTTCGACCACCATTCGCCAAAACTGTTCTCAATTGTTTACTTGTCCAACCTAGGCCATGTCAGCATCTACAGCTCTCCACGCACTTAGCAACCTTGTGGATTGTGGTCAATGACAATTAGAGGTCACATACACACAGTTGCAGCAATACAGCAGCCTTGTCAATGTTAACGGACGCTCCATCCAGTGCTCATTCAAGATGGATTCATGATAAATAAATAGAAGGAAGGGGCTAGCCTTCTTTTTCTTTGTTCCGTTTCGATGATATGTACTATAATATACGCCGCATTTTAAAAGTGACATAAAGTTTTTATGGAACCATTTTGTATATATAATTGGGCCGAACCTCTGCTTTAGGTAATGTTTTTAATTATCATATAATAAAATACTCAGAACCTTACCAGCCACCCCCATGGGCTTCCAAAATGCTGAAAAAAGAACTCTGCATGATTGGACTGCCACTTTGTTTCCTTCTACCAACCTTTGTTTGAGGAAATCTCATCTACTTACCTGGGATATTCAATTTCATACAGGTTTCCCCAGCAAAATTGCACTCCCGTATAGCAAAAGAAAATGATGTGAACCACACCAAGTCATTTTGCTGAAGATCAATTAGACATGTAAGAACTTTATATAAAAGGGAAAAAAAAACACTTCAACGGTATAGACGGTTGATGAACAGAGTCAAAATTTTGTAGGTAAACTCCAGTTTGGAGACAGTTTATTGGCTTTTCAACCATCATTCGGGAAAAAAACTGTTACTAATAGTTTGCATGTCAAATCTAGGCAAGGTCACAACATCTGCAGCTCTCTACTCAGCAGCAGTTTCCAAATGGTTCAATGCTATGCATTACCTTTTTCTTTTACAAACTATGGTCAACAACAATTAGAGTTCATATATACTCAATGTCTATACACAAATAGAAAGTTCAAAACTTATCCGCCAGTGCCCATTCAAGACAAATTCAAGATAAAAGCAGAGTTGTACTTATTCATGAACAAGCTTCAATTAAAAATTTATACTCCATATAAACACTGCTGATATGCATTGTGCGGCGTGATACCAGTATTGTTTTTCTTTGTTCCCTTTTGATTATATTATAACATAATATGCTGCATTCAAATGTGACTTCATTCTTTTATGGAACCATTTGGATATTTGGGCAACTCCTCTACTTTAAGCAATGTTTATAGTCAATACTCAGCACTTTACCAACGACCCCCATGCAGTTCGAAAGCACTGAAAAAGGAACTCTGATTGTACTGCCACTATATTTTTCTTCTAGCAACCTTTCTGTCAGTCTGTCAAATTTTATTTGAGGAAATGGCATCTACTAACCTGTGATGCACGTTTCTCCCAGCAATTTGCACTCTCATATAGTCACTGAAAATTATGCGAACACCCCCAAGTGATTTGGTACATATACCAATTATCTATCTGTGAACTTTATCAAGAAAATAAATTAGACAGTACAGATGAACAGAGTCAAAATATTCTCAATAAGTAGGTAAATCCATAACAGAATTGGTTAAACTCTGTTGTGCAATAGGATTATTGAATCAAAAGTCCAATATCCATAAATTGGTTTGAACTGGAGAGAGAAACAAAGAAAGAATCATCCAAGATGAACTCAAATTTGTCTCCATAAATGTTAAGAGCCTAGTTCTGGATGGCCCAGAACCCAAGCAATGCAAATAATGGAATATCCTTTTAACAAATGTGATAAGACATGGGGGTATTCAAAATTTAAAAATAAAAGACCTCCCTTATATTCTATATATGGATATTATATTATATATTTCCCTCATAGAACTAAGTTTAACTGGCAATTCGGCATAATAAACCACAAAATATACCAGTTAATAATGTAGTCATGCCTTTGTCCGATCACATCTGTTTATACAATGCGCTTTCGGACTACAGAGTACAAACCACTCCACTTAGTCTGGTGAAGCAAATATAGAATATTCAAATCCACTTGCATAAAGTAAGTTAGAAACTCATCGTGGGCAAATATTCTGCCCATAAATATCTGCACACATTGACACTGGCCAACACACCGCACTAAACCCCTGAGCAAAATGGCTTCCTGTAAACCCCTCGCTTGCAGTGTCTTGGCCTTGTTCTTTGCTGCAAGCATGGTTTCAGCTCAGCTTACTGCAAATTTCTATGACAAGTCATGCCCAAATGCATTGAACACCATCAAAACAGCAGTAAGGTCTGCCGTTGCCAGGGAGAACCGCATGGGCGCATCATTGCTCCGCCTCCACTTCCACGACTGCTTTGTTAGTGTAAGTGTCCCCAAATCTGCACATATGTTTTAAACTTCACATTTTCTGGATTCATAAGCATGGAAATCTTAACTATGCAGGGCTGCGATGGCTCAGTGCTGCTTGATGACACCCCAACCTTCACAGGGGAGAAGACTGCTGTTCCGAACAACAATTCCCTGCGTGGATTTGACGTGATTGACAGCATCAAGGCACAGCTTGAGAGGATCTGCCCACAGGTGGTATCATGTGCTGACATCGTCGCTGTGGCAGCACGTGACTCTGTTGTTGCGGTAAGACAAAACAAAAGAAACATTTCAAGTTAGAGGCAACAAGTTGAATGTAAAAGTGTTTATGATTGTGAACCTCGCAACAAACCCCAACTAAGTGATTATCCAATTCGTTAACTGAAATGAGGATGGTACAACTCTTTATATTTGAGAGATGATGATAAATTTATAACCTAGACCAAAACAAGCCTCAGGGAGCACTAAACTAAACTACAAAAGTCAACATTCATATTCAAAGATTCCATAGCAACTGATTGACTAAGTGCATTTCATGCATTCCAATTTAGCAATTCCAATAGAAACAAACAATAGTAAGAGTTCGCAATTTCTATTTCAGCTTGGAGGACCTACTTGGTCTGTCAATCTGGGAAGGCGTGACTCATTGACAGCAAGCCTAGATGCTGCAAACAACGACATCCCAGCACCAACTCTTGACCTCACTGATCTCACCAAGTCCTTCTCAAACAAAGAACTGAGTGCAACTGACATGATTGCACTCTCAGGTACTGCAATATAATGCAAATTTTGGGAACAAACATATACTCGATTCATAAATCATAGTCAACTCTAGATTTGTTCCTTGAATGCAAAAGGTAGTAATACTGACTGATACGGAATAAAAATTTTTTTTGCCAGGAGGTCACACCATTGGGCAAGCAAGATGTGTCAACTTCCGCAACCGCATATACAGTGAAGCTAACATCGACACGTCCCTTGCGACATCACTGAAAACAAATTGTCCCAACAAGACTGGTGACAATAACATTTCCCCCCTTGATGCCTCGACACCCTATGTTTTTGACAACTTCTACTACAAGAACTTGCTGAACAAGAAGGGGGTTCTGCATTCTGACCAGCAACTGTTCAATGGAGGTTCAGCAGACTCCCAGACTACGACCTACTCTTCAAACATGGCAAAATTCTTCACTGATTTCAGCGCGGCGATGGTGAAGATGAGCAACATTAGTCCCCTCACTGGATCCAGTGGACAGATAAGGAAAAACTGCAGGACGGTAAACTAGCACCTTGTAGTCTTTGTTGAAAAGGGAGAAAGCTTCCCTTTTGCTCATACTGTAGTCCTCCTGAAAGATGTATCCACAGCTTCGCAAAGCATACATATGAAAAGAATAAAATGACATGAAAAATGTTTTTGAAACAATTTTAGTATGCGTTTTCAACAACCATAAACTTAGACAACCTAATGGATAAAAACTTTTTCGATAAAACACCACTGTGATGACCCGCTTAGATGGAGTGTATTTTCATCATATACCAAAACTATGAAAGCAAAGAAAACAGAGACAGTACTCATCGTAATATGAAACTGAAGTACCAAATTTGTACAGCAGAACAGGAAAACAGTTCTGCACAAGAGGGTTAACAGCCCGCGCAATTCCAATAAGAGGATAAAACGATACATGATTGCAGGCAGACTCATGACTGATGAATGTTGCGTATGGCTGCATTGATACTTCTACAGTCAAAGTCCATGATCTTCATCCAGTTCTCGAAATCTCCAATTTCCTACAAATGTAATTGAACATGGATGCTTCAGCAGCAACAACTAGCACATGATTTGGATTGAATTTTTCTGAGAACGAACTATCCAAACAGAAGGAATGGTATCCTAACCAATCGCATATAGTCAGCGTTCTAGTTTTCCTTATCACAGAACATGTTCTCTAATCAGTGTAGCAGGATCCGGAATTTCAGATTCACCCTGGGCAAAGTTTACACGAGGAAAGGATCGACCAGACAGAGAGCAGCAGTCACACCACTCCCCCTGATAATCCGTTAGTTATTATTATTACCTTCAAGACAGAGTTGATCTCGCTGGTGTCAGCCAGCCACTGATCAGTCTGCCGCCTGTAGCGAGCGATGGTACCGAGCAGCGCGCGGGCCTCGAGCTCGATCCGCTTCTCGTTGACGAAGAGCTCCTGCACCCCGCCGTCGACCGCGTCCACGAGCAGATCAGCGACCCGCGCCGCGCTTCTCAGGGCGTCCTCCTTCGCTCTCTCTGCGCGCGCGCGCGCGTGGTGCAAGATGGGGGTGAATAGTTTGTTCGGTCACTTGGGCAGAGGAGACAGCAATGGCGGCGGGCGGCGGCGTACCGGTTTGTTGGCGTTGGCGGAGGGATTGGCGGTGGTGCTGATGCACGATCTGTAGAAGCGCCTCTTCCAGATCCTGCTTCCCACCCGCCGACGCCGCTAGTGACTTGGCTCCGTCCATCCCTCACAATCGCCGCCGGTCGCCGGAGGAGTTCCCGTTCTTTTACCTTCTTTTTTTCTGGTTTTTTTTTAAGGGATTTGTTTTTTTCTGGGTGAGAGATAGCTCGAGAGGATGACTTGTATGGGCCACGGCAAGGTAATCTGCAAAAAGCCCAACCGAAATCGAAAGAAGCCCATTCGGCTTGCACGGCGGACCGTCGTACGCGTGCTACTCATTCATCTCCACTCCAACAAGCCACTCCTGAGACGGTCTCCAACGACCGTAATCCAAAATATAAGATTCATTCGTTCTTTGTTTTTGTCTTCTTCAACAATAAAATCTAAAAGACAATCCTTTCTGCAAATGGGTCTCCAGGAGAGAGGATACTCAGATTTGGGTTATGTCTCTCCTGCCATCCAAAATGGGTCTTCCAAATAGGTACTCTGTTAGAGGCTATATGTATTGTGTTGGAGACCCATTTTAGATTTGGGTTCCGTAATGAGTCTCCTGTTGGAGACAGCCTAAAAGGAGGCAGATAAGCATGACGAATTGTCACGTTAAAGCGCACTACCCGTCGTCTTCCTCCCACGACGAGTCGACGAATCCCACGCGACGCCCCTTCTTCTTCCTCCCGCATCCCTCCGCCACCGCCTCCTCCCTCGCCGCCGTCGAGCACCGGCCGTCGTCCTTGGCCTCGACCTCCTCCTCATCTAATCCCCCCCCACCCGCCACATTGCCCCATTGCAGGCGCTTAGGGCTCACGGGACTAACCCCGCCATTGGCCATCGGCCCATTACGTCTTGCAGGCTCGCCCGGACTCCATGAGCCCTAAGCGCCGCTGGCGCGTCGCTTTCTTCCCTCCCCCCATCACCGGAGATCCACCATGGCGGGTGAGGTTTGAGCTCTCGCCATGGCGCCCCCCACCCTCCTTTGCCCGGCCACATGGCACCGCCAGGCCCTTAAGCGCCTGACCTCCTTCCCCACCGCCGGCCGGCCTTGCTGCGCCGACCAATAGGGCCTTTCTATACCTGTCGGAGTTGGGAAGGAGAGGGGGAGGAGCTCGCCGAAACCCTAGTCACCGCCGCCGTCGTCTCCGTCTCCGGTGAGCTCAGGAGGAGGAGGAGGCTTACTTGGCCGCCGGCGATCTGGAGCTCGTCATCTTCTTCGTCTCCGGCGAGGTCGCCGGAACCCTAGCCGTCGGCGTCTTCTTCTTCATCTCCGGCTCCAAAAGCGGTCATGGGCACGGGAGGGGAGGGAAGGGAGGAGCTCAGGGGAGGATGAGGAGCTCGGCTGCTCGGGGGAGGAGGCGAGCCGAGGAAGGCGACGGGTCGCGCGCTCCCCCATTGCGCGACCCGTCGTGTAGTAGAGTTTCCGCTCCTAAATGTCCCGATCCCAACGTTTGTCAACTCTAAAATTGCTCCATGGATGTTTTTATCGATTCGATTTACATAGTTTTGTCTAATATATGACACTACGTAAGCCACAACAATGGCGTATCCGAGATTCAAAACACCGTGGGGTCAAACTTATTGATTTTATATTAAGCTATATAAGCACTACAATTAACATATATTATTGCAATTTTTATAATAGGGTTTACAAGCAGGTTAAAAAGAAAAAATTATGGGGCGGTATTTACATCTTGCACGTAGATCCGCCATTGGGCCACAAGTAAGATAAATTGAACTCCGTTAATATGAACCCAATCACAACATTTTTCTTAAAATCATACACTATATTATGATGATTAGTTTTGAATTATTTGAATCTTATATGGCCATATAAATAAATATTAGTATATATCTTGATCAAAGCTAAGAATTTTACAACTTGTCAAAAAGTGATAATGATGTTCTTTTTAAAAACAGAGGAGCTCTAAATTGTTGCAGCATAATCCATCTAATTCTACTTCACGTGTGTATCTGTTTGGTGATTCAATTCTGTCACACAAATACATGCATAAACGAAAATAATAGGGTAATGCTAGCGCACAGACGTCCGATAGGGATGAATTCCATCGGACACCCGCCCGCACACTTGACACACCCACCTCGATGTCTGACCCGTCCCCATCTGCGCACCTTGCCCCCATTCCCATCCGTTCACCCCGCCCCCGTAGGCGCACCCCCGCCCCGTCTTGCCCCCAACTCGCCGCGCCCCATTCCCCCGCACCGTACCCCTAACTCTTCGAACATCATGAAACACGTGCAACATGAAACACTTGAATGCAACATACGTCTGAAATAGATGAAACATCTGGAACACACACTTGCAACAAATGTGTGTAAACATATGCAACATCTAGATAGAACACTTGCAACTTGCAACATGAAAACACTTGCTACAACAGAAGACTGAAATAAATGAAACATTTTGGAACACACGATTGCAACATATGTGTGAAAACATATGCAACACCCAGATCAAAACTCTTGCAACATACGTCTGGAAAGAGATGAAATATTTTGAACAAACGCTTGCAACATGCCTCTGAAATACTTGCAACATATGCAACATCCCCCGATCTACTTTTACAGCATCTATATAAAACAATTACAACATACCTCTGAAATAACTGAAACATACATTTGCAACATAGGGAAAGAGAGGCCTGGACCGGTCGATTTTGGCTGACGGGGTGGGAGTTGGCGGCGACCGGATGCGCGCGAGCACCACCGCCATCGACGCCACTAGTACCGGGCTTGGCTCGACGGCCACTGTGGGGGATGGTGGAGCGAGGAGCGCCATGGTCGCCGAGGTAGGGGGAGCTCGGTCGCCGAGATGAGAGAGGGTGTCGCCGGGGGTAGGGAGGGCGCCGCGCCGGGGTGGGGGACAGCCGTCGACTCCCTTGCAACACTGCCTCGCCACCTCCATGGATCTTGCTTGAGACAAGTGGATCTCGCCAGTGCTCCATGGAACTCGCCCGGGGGTGGGAGTGAGGGCCGCCCGGATCTGTGGGCGTTAGGGTCTCCGGTGGGGGAGGACGCCGAGCGTGGAAGGGGTAAGGATGGGGAGGAGGAAGCGGTGATATTTTTTAATATACATGCGGGCAGGAGCGAGCGAAATGCGAGGGTGAAAAGTTGTCCGACGTTTGTGCAAGATGGTCCATCGACGCCCGACGGTAGCATTTCTGAAAATAATAGGTAATCAGCATGTACACGGCAACATATTTACCCATCAAAGCAGTAAGTGGAAACCACTTTAGTTAAAGCATCATGTCTCAGTCAACCTCGGCAGACTCTAACCACTGACTTCGTTCGTTTCGCTGAAATTTACTGCCGATTGATGCTTGATTTGTTGTGAGGAAAAAACTGTTCATAGCAGCTCTGGCTGAAAAACAGGGATTTGATGATCGATAATATTTACGCATCAAAGTACTGATGAAGTAGTGCTGAAAGAGTGATGATCAGTAATACACTCTCTGCTAGCTAATAGCTGATCACACTCGCTTAGGCGTCCAGCAAACTTCTGATTCGAATCCTCTTAGCTACACCTTTCCTCTTCTCGTTTGGAACAGAGGGACTCCAATTCAGCCTTGAGCTTGGCCATAGCAGCCTGGCGTTCCTTCATGCATGAGAGCTTTTTCCTCGACCATATAGCTCTGATATCCTTGATCTCTTTTGCTAGGTCTTCCACAGATGTTTTCTCTTCCCAGCTGCACATAAAAGTAATAAACGTATCAAGTGCGTTGCTAAAGTGCACTGACATATATCTTCTTCTAGTCTAGTAAATAAAGGGAGATAAGTATAAAGTAAAGACGATGACGTAGATGAAGCAAAATACGATGCTATTAGCTTATTTGACGACGACGACAACAACAATAGAAACTTTGACAATAACAAAAGTGTCCCGGAGCAAATTTATTGGGAACGGTGTCTAGAAATAAATTTGACAACAACAAACATGTTCAGTAGCAAATTCGATTTTTCAGAGTCCACTAGCAAAGACAGATCACTTTGAGGGTCATGCGTAGCCTATTTTGCCCGGTGGCCGGTGCTATTAGCTTTACCATGCGATTGGTTGGTTGAAACTTGGACGAGCCACATTGCCATAGAAAACGAAGTTTCAAAATCTTTCGTGCATACAGCTAGCTAGCTGCACTGTTTGTCAAACTGCCCATTGACAAAAGGAGCTTCGGTTTTTGCGCTGACAATAATGTCGTTGCTTGGTTAGTAAAAGGCCGGCCGGCGTCAAATCAAAACTCAAAAGGTGTCAAAATCATACAGCTGCTTGCCATGCACCACGAGACGACGACGACGTCGACGAGTCGACGACGACCTACTCTTACTCGTCTCCATGGCTCCATGCTGCAGCTGAGGCATGCAAAAGTCTTCAGCCTTTTTCCCCAAACTTTGCCGCTGTCTCCCTCTCCTTTGAAGCTAAACTCTACCTGCCTAATCCAAGCTAGTTGCGACCAGCGCCCAACTAGCTACTAGCCAGTCAAAAACATTCTGGATCGTCATCGATATGATGTGGTAAAAAAAAAAAGGATGAAGAAACTGAATTTGAGTTTTGCTCTAGAGAGACATGTCATGTCATGGATGTAACTTTAGACCGTACTTGTAACGTCTCGCTCGGTTCGCTTGAACCACCTCAGCAGTACTTTTCAGCTAACGAATAATGTTTTTTTCTCACAATAAATCAGCATAAGCATCAGCATAAACCAACTTTCAGGGAAGCGAACAGGGATGAGATCCATTTATCCGTCGACTCTGTGATCCTGACTGCGTGCAGTAGCTGGACGGTTCTTATCCAGATTTCTGTAGAATTCGATTTGATTGGTAGAGCTAGCTTACCTTTCTCAACTTTGTTTATCATCCTTTATATTAGGTAGGTTATGCAATCGATCCACGTCAGGCTTGTCAGCTCAATGTACAATCATCTGTCAGCAGCGCCAAGCCAATCCGCATTTGTCAATGTAAATATATATTTATATTTGTCTAATACATGTAAGGTTTTTATACTTTGTAAAAATCTATAAACTTTGACTACTAGAACATTATAACATATTTATATTAGTAGTATACTTGTAATTACTCTATTATTTAAAAAAAAAATAATATTATACATATAAATTTTTCATGCAGCAAATTCAACATATTGAGCGGTGAAGAAGGTTAGTGCATACCAAAGATACCCATCCATGGTCTCCATGGTTTTCGGAATCCCTTTGGAGTAAGCAACGATGGTGGCTTCGTGGGTTTCTTAAATATCAACGATGTGACAAGCGCCCGGATGTTCGGAAGGACACCTGCGTCCAAACGCCCGCAACTGCTCCATCCCGCATCGGTGGCCGTGGCCTGGCCCTACCACTCTTGTCGACACCAATGCCCGCGGTCTGCACTTGCAACATGAAACAATTGCTGCAACATATGACTGAAACAGATGAAACATTTAGAACATACGCTTGCAACATATGTGTGAAAAATATGCAACACATCTAGATAAAACACTTGCAACATACGTCTAAAACAGATGAAACATTTTGAACAAACATTTGCAACATACATCTGAAACACTTGCAACATAATGCAACATATGCAACACCCCGATCTACTTTTGTAACATCTATATGAAATACTTGCAACATATCTCTGAAACATGTGAAACACTTGAAACATACAGTTGCAACATGGGTGAGGGGAGGTCGGGGTCGGTCGATTCCGGGCATCAGGGTAGGAGCTGGCTGCGAGCGATGGCGCACGAGCACTACCAGCACTGGCCGCGCTCGTGGGTGCCCTTGGCTCGGTCGGGGATGACCTGAGGCGCCCCGACACGTGCGCCCAACAACCATCGGCAGGGGCGGCGGTGGTGGCCCATTGTAGCGAGGCATCCCGACGGCGCTGGGGTTGGGGATGAGTCCGGAGAGGCGCTCTGCTGCCAGCTAAGGTGTATGAGAGAGAGAGACCGAGAGGTGGGGAGGGCAACAATGGGGAGAGCAGAGGCGGGTGGCACATGCGACGGCACTAGAGCTAGCAGTGCGGGTGGGGCGCGTGGCAGGTGGGAGCGAGGAACAAGAGGCGAGGGTGGGATGAGTGAAGGTGGGAGGGGGGGGACGAGGAGCAAGCGGTGCGCGGTGGGGAAGGCGACGCCAACGAGGCAGAGTGGGGCGCGTGCCGTCTAGATGGACAGACGCCCGGGTCTAATCATTATCGATATATTAAAGTCTGCTTTACCCTAAGCTAGTTCTGAATTTGGAAAAAACCTATTGTATTTTTAAACCGGTTGAGTTACCCCCTTGACCATTTGGAAATGGTTTCATGGGTGGTTTTGCTGACATGGTGGTGGAGCCTACATTTTAGATGATCTCTCTCTTTCTCTTGAATAAAAAGTCATAACCTTTTCATACGAAGTCAGATGCAGAATACAAACTTAATAACAAAGTTATAATAAGGCTTGATGTACAACTTTGTAGTAGACAATTTTTCGATTTAGGAGAGAGGAAGCACGAAGATAAATATCCTAATTTTTTTATATCCTAATTTGTTTATATAATCACCTGATCCCCTAGCAAACTATTTTTCCCCAAAACAATATGCGCCCACGTACATGCCCTATCGTGTGGCCCTTGTTACACCAAGATCCATGCTGCTCAACTTCCCATATGGAATCTCAAGCAACACGTATCAATGTAGCCGGTCCGGTGTGACATAGATGACAAATCTGGTCACTCACGAACTAATCTCAATCAACACAAAATCTTTGCAGATCAGCGACATTTCATCGGTTTATAGCCAATGACAAAATGAAAATCACATATGCTAGCTACATCTTATATCCTTAATTGTATTTAATCCTTTGTATATTTAGTAGTTCTGAGAGGAAACATGCACGTACGGTTAAGTGTTCTCACGTACTTTCTTCTGTTTAATTTACTAGTAGTTTAGTACCATACCGTACCTTGAGACCGAATGTCTGAATTAGTACTTCTTGTAGACAAAAATAACTGTCAATGCTGCAACCTTTCACTGCCTTGAAATAAAACATGGTTGATAGGCAATATTCAATTTTTTTATATTGTGATGTACCTTACATGTAAAACCTACTGAAATTAAAATAACATGTAATCAATTAATATAGTTAAGCAGTCTTCTCCATCTGACTCCCTTGAATTAAATTAACATTGTCTAGAATAATGCCCAAACTAATGAAGTGAACAGGGTTTTACTAGTACTACTTGGGTTCCATGTGCGTGGCCAAGTCTCCACAATCCAAGGGGTAGTTGGGCGTGTGGACAGTGATCCGTACCTAATGGCTTTATCACATTCTTTGACCATAGCACCTGCAAACAAATATTTCAACATCAATCACACGTTATCAGATGCTTCTGGTGCTGTACGTGCATGGTGCAGTGCAGGCACGTGGCCTGTTCGACATGTATTAAAAGTCGGTGATAAGTCAACTAAAGCTATTTTTTAGAAAAAATCACCAAAATTCTAACTAATAAAATCTGGCTGGATAAGTTCAAACAAACATGCCCATGCATTGCGAAAAGTTGACAGAGCTGATGAACTGATCTGAGCCGTTGGATAGATGCATCATGTCCTATTCACAACAACTTAACTTTGATTGATTGATTGTAATAATAATAAAACGATAATTTATTTGACTTTGAAGCAATGCAAAAGATTCTGAGAATGGAGACTGTTGACTCTTTGTCATGCGTGTACGCGTTGTGGCGAACAAATGGAGCTGGATTGTTAACGAACGAACTAACTAACCATGCATGACCACTTTTATTAGAGAAAGCATGGCATGGGTCATGGGGGCATATCATATTTTATCATACTATACGCGGTAAAGAGCTATGACACATAGTATATAGTATCACTTTTGTAAAAGTTGATGAAAGGAGACTTTGTACTTGTTGAGTGTGTAGGTCAGTAGTAGTGCCCAACAAAGTTGACCATGCCCATGCATGCATGTCTGCAGCTAGCAGCATCTAATATGACGACGTGGATGACCGGAATGGTGAGCATGCAGCCGGATAAACTCCACCGACGATCAGATGACATAAATAAACAGTTGATGATAAAGTGCTGATGATGACAGACTCGACGACCAATTGATCACCAAAAACCAAATGACGACTGTGAACGTAACAGTACGTGGATCCATGAACCATGATGCATGCATGATTGCTGGTGAGCACGTATATATATATATACACACAATGCAACATGATGTGTAGCAAAACTAGCAGAGACGTGGCAGAAAAAAGCTTTGCTAGACGGTTGCTAAGAAAAGGGCACGTAGGTCTGTCGGCCGAGTCGTCGTAGCTTAACTCAAACCGTGTGTCGGCTTTCAGTTTGCTTCGATACGTACTAGAGGTCCAAGTGTTACCATTCACCAGAACCACAACTTCACGGGTGCTGTCCTAGAGTACAGTGATGCACCTTATCTTTCCAACGAACTCTATCTGGCCTAGTTGGTGTGAAGCGCGTGATTCCTGCGCGGCCGGCCAACACCTGCCTGCATGCCTTTATTTCGTCGATTGCTTTTCAACTCAAAGCCCAACAGATGAGCAGTAGCAGTAGGTGATGATGATACATGCATATTATATATATATATATATATACACACAAAAATCATGATGTAATGCATGTAATCATGTTTGATGCATACATGGTCACGATACGAGACACGTAGTCTATACACAGAAACCAGGTACAGGTGTTTCTGCTATAAATATGGACCTCCTCCAGGCAATAAGGCAAGGCAAGCAACTAGGCAAGCAAATTAAGGACGCTCTGCACTCGTCTTGTGCTTACGTATCGCCAGACGAAGACCATGGCCACTCGTGCATCAGCAGCAGCTCCTGCTGCAAGAAGGTGCAGCTACGTCGTGGCTCTCCTCTTTCTCATCGCGCTCGCCGGCACCTCGTCGGCGCAGCTGTCCACGGGCTTCTACTCCTACTCCTGCCCCGGCGCCTACGGCGCCGTCAAGTCGGTGATGCAGGCCGCCATCGCCAAGGAGAAGCGCATGGGCGCCTCCATCCTTCGCCTCTTCTTCCACGACTGCTTTGTCCAAGTACGTCGTCGTGCTCTGATGATACCATCACCGGTTGCTCTCGATCACTGCATGATGGTACTCAAAATTTGACCACCATATATGATGCATGCATGTATAGGGCTGCGACGCGTCGCTGCTGCTGGACGACACGGCCACCTTCCAGGGCGAGAAGATGGCGACGCCCAACAACGGCTCCGTGCGAGGCTTCGAGATCATCGACGCTGTCAAGTCGGCCGTCGAGAAGGTGTGCCCCGGCGTCGTCTCCTGCGCCGACATCCTCGCCATCGCCGCCAGGGACAGCGTCGTCATCCTGGGCGGGCCGAGCTGGGACGTCAAGGTCGGGCGGCGGGACTCCACGACGGCGAGCTTCAGCGGCGCCAACAACAACATCCCGCCGCCGACGTCGGGGCTCGTCAACCTCACCTCGCTCTTCGCCGCGCAAGGGCTCTCCGAAAAGGACATGGTCGCGCTCTCTGGTAAGTACGTCGTTGCACTGTTATTTAATTAATTACCTACCAACTTCGAGTAATAAAATTTCTAAAACTGTTAACTCTCTTGTTATTACTTTTTACCATCTTTCTCTAATATAAATAAGAAACTTGTACTACTAACTACTACTTAGACATGTTCAAAATTAACTACATATACATGTCCCAAAATGCACGTTCGGCTTACCCTGAAGCTGGCTTGTTCGGCTTCTTTTTTTAGCCGAAACAGTGTTTTTCTCTCGCAACAATTCAGCCAGAACAGTGTTTTTTAGCCAGTTTCAGCAAACGGAACGGGGCCGAGCGACACTCCACACAAGCTTTGGACCTTTAATACCTTGACTTGATAAATAAACAGCTGGTAGACACTTCACCAGAATTGACAGCTCAGTTTTTGACTTATACATGGGATGTTAATTAGTTGTTAAAAAATAGGCATCGAGATTGAACTGAATCACAAAAAGTTGGTAAAGGTGACTGTGACACCCGAAGGCTGTCGGTATGAGTTTCCAGAAGAAACTAAAACAAGTTGTGCGTGCAAAAGCTTTACTTTATGTTTCTGCATGTTATAAACCTGGCGATAATGCCGACTTCAACCAACCCTCTCTGTCTAAGTTGAAAGATCAGTTTGCATCAGATCGATATCTTAATTAGATGGAATACGAAAAGCAGTAAGCATATATACATCGATATATAAAGTCGATCGGTCGACATCTTTAATTCCCAGCTAGATTGCAATTAACTACAACTACAGCCACACATAATGTTCCTTTTGTGTCGCTTTATAACTAGAATCGGATCCTCTTTTTCTTTCTTATTAATATATATATAGATATAGATTTATTACACAAGGTACCTGTTTATTTAAAAAGGAAAATGTTTTTATGCTCTAATTTATTTGAGTAAAGTCACCAATCTCCTTGTTAAAAATAAATAAATAAATAAATTGGTCAATCAGTCATTTCTTCTATACTTTTGAATACTACTTAATTAAGTAATAATGTGTCATTATTTTATTTCCTTCTGTCTTTGATGATTCATTTGCCTCTTAATTTTGCCAGGTGCTCACACCATTGGGCTAGCACGTTGCACGAACTTCAGAGCCCACATATACAACGACACCGACATCGACGCCGCCTTCGCAAAAACAAGGCAATCAGGTTGCCCAAGCACCTCAGGTGCAGGTGACAACAACCTGGCACCATTGGACCTTCAAACTCCGACCGTCTTCGAGAACAACTACTACAAGAACCTTCTTAGCAAGAAGGGCCTTCTACACTCTGACCAAGAGCTCTTCAACGGTGGCGCCACCGACGCGCTGGTCCAATCCTATGTTGGTTGCCAGAGCACGTTTTTCGCAGATTTTGTGACGGGTATGATCAAGATGGGTGACATTACACCATTGACGGGCTCCAACGGCCAGATAAGGAAGAACTGCAGAAGAGTTAATTAGTTCATTAAGAGATGATGAACTGCGAATAAACTATCTTTGAGGCTTTTGTTCTTCAGCTATGCGTGTTCAATGACTTTTTGTAGCTTTATATTTTTTTAACAATTGTGAAATCATTGTGTGGTGTTGATGTGTTCGCATGTCATTTTTTTAAAGGATGAATGTATCACTTGTTGTTTATGTCATCTTTTTGTCCAATATATTTTGCATGAGAAAAAGACAATAAGTCCTGGCGTGTGAAGTATATGCAACAAGTAAATATGAACAGTTAGAAGATGTCTCCAGAGATTGTGCAGATTCAGCCACATTGAATATTTCATACTCTACCGCATGGAGAATCACCTAATTAAGGCATGCATTTGCCATGCCAAGCTACGGTTTCCCCAAAATAACTAACAAGCATATACTCCTATATAAGATGCATTTGTTGGTTAAGAGATAAACCTTGAGTGGCCCCTCTAATAAGTTCCTATGGTGGCTTGGTAGACGTGCCTCATCAATTTCTGACCAAAACCTTCTAACCTCCTGTGCTGTGCATTTGATCTTCTTCTGTACTTAATTTGCGCATAGAACATGCTTGCTCTCTCCTGCTTCATGAATGAAATAGGCACAAGCTCTCGTGCCGGTTCGTTAAAAAAAAGAACATGCTTGCTCTAAATGACTTCATAACATGATTAATGTGATATTTGTTTGGCCTTCTACCTTTTCAATAAAGCTTCCTAGCTAACAGATACTCCCTTCATCCTAGTATATAAGACGTAATCACTTTTTATTTAAGTCTTATAATACAAGGTGTGCTCTCTCTAGACACGCGTATATCGATGTAATAGTACTAGTATTGAGTGAGAATTAAATATATTCCTTAGTCTTTGAATCAGAGGTGTGGTTAGGCCACTCTATACTAGGATGGAGGGAGTATAAATACTCTCCCTAGTCACATATAAGTGACGTTTAGGGGGTTGCCTGAAGTCAATTATTTCAAACTTTGACCAATATTTTGTTATCATAATTAATATATCTATAAAAAATAAAATACATTTTTTTAATGAAAACTTTCAAATGCAACCTATAAAAAGTAACTTATTAGAGTTGTCAAAGGTAGAAATAACCGCAAAGCATCACTTATTGTGACTAGAGGAAATATTTGATTGGTTAAATCTCCAAGCAAGCGAACTGATCATAGATCAGTTGGTTGACTTCCGTGTGGTGGAACCTGCTCACCCGGGTTCAAGTCATCGACTTGGCACGGGTATTCGTATTTTTCTAGATTTATTCTAGGATTTAACGGCGCTATGTTTTCAGTGGTAGGCGACGTCCCCGTCGACATCGAGGCGTCCGTGGTGACTTCGTGAATCTCAAGATCTGCCGGCTTAGTCCTTCGGAGGTGCTCATAGGGATATGGTTTGCGTACGTGTGTTTGTTTATCTACCAAAGTTTGCGTTGAAAATACTGTATAAGCAACGCATATACAACTTATTCGATCTCTTTGTTGCTAAATAAATGATAATGATCTAACACGGGTGTCCGTAACTCCCGTCTGGACGAGCGGCTCCCTAGGAGCGGGCTCCAAACAAAAAACAAAATTCCCACTCCCTCGTGCTTATCCGCCCCACTCCTTCGCAGGCGTATCCGCCTCGCCCCGGCAAAGACATGGCCACTCATTGTCCACGCCCCTTACCCCACCGCTGCTATTGTCAATCCATCGCGCTGCGCGTGCCCATCGTCGAACTTCGCCGCGCCGTCCGCATACACTGTGCTGCTTGCCCCTCGTGCTTATCCGCCCCCACTCCTTCGTGCTTATCCGCCCGGCCCCGAAGCAGCATGGCCACTCATTGTCCACGCCCCTTCCCCCACCGCGCGCTCGTCGGCTACCACGCCGTGCCCCACCGCGCCGTGCCCCATCACCAGACTTCGCGCCAGCGCCGTCCCCCGCACACATGTGTTGCTTGCTTCGGTCCATCTCTCATCGCCATTACATTCGCACGACTTTCCCGCCATGGCCACCGGGGCGCATGTGCCGTGGCACCTCATGTCTTCCCCCGCCGAGCCAAGGGCACCCACGAGTGCAAGTGGTGCTGGTGGTGCTCGTGCGCCGCGGCTCGCCGGCGGCTCCGACACCGATGACCAAAATTGACTAGCCCGGCCTTCCCCTCCCCAATGTTGCATATGTATGTTTCAAGTATTTTGGACATTTTCGATGTATGTTGCAAGAGTTAAATGCATGAGAGGCCCTTGGACTTGTCATGTGGTGTCACTTTAGGCCTTGGAACTTTGAAAATGCATTTCTAGATATATAAACTTGTTGATTAATACATCGTAGGTCCATATTTGCCACGTGGCAGAAAATTATGCACTGAACCTCCTTGAAAAATATGCCCCCTAAACAGATCAGCCTCTGAACTGAACCTCCTCTCCTGTGTGCGCTGCTCTCCAACTTCCTCCACGCTGAGGCGCGCGCAGCGCGCTGCCCCTTCTGCAAGAACACGAGCCTGAACTGGTACTTCGCCAAGAACAAGCACATGCTGGTGGCCAACTGCATCTTCCGCGTGGGCAGCGTCTGGACATGCGCGGGCGTCCGGACGCGCGCATCTGTCCGGATGTCCGGACGATAGCCACACCCCTAAATTAATCAATTTCTAGAGGTGTCTTAAGTCATTTCCTTAAGGTTTGACTAAACTAAAAAAAAGAGCATCAGAGATTTATGATACTAAATTAGTATCATTAGATACGTTATAAAAATATTTTTGTAATATGTTTATTTGGTGTCATAAGTATTTGTGCCTTTTTTATAAATTCGGTTAAACATAAAAAATGATTTAAAATAACTATAGAAATTAATTTAGTGGACAAGAAGAGGGAAGTATTATCTCTGTCCCTAAAGGAAAGCAACTATGGGTTGCGTGCTAACTAAAGAGGTCATGTTTGACCAAATTTCTATTTAATTTATTATGAAAATATATTTTGTATTTAATCTAATAGCGTATCATAAATGTTGATACCTTTTTATCTATAATTAGTTATATTTAAGATAATAAAATATATATAATACTATGCTAAAATTGTATTCTTCGGAACCGACCGAGTACATACTCTTAGTAGGTAGCAACGCTTTGGCGGCTCAGCTGAAACAAAATAATACATATAATAAAGCTAGAGCCTACTAGACAGCTTGGAGCCTACTAGACAGCTTTAGTGCTGCCTAACGATAGGATCCGATCTTGCCGAACGTAGTATCTCTTTAGTTTCTTGATGACAAGAATGATTGGATCTCTCATCATTTTAATTATGCTTACTTTAGCAGTTTAGCATGATATTCATCTTTTTTTTTTGCTTCTTATTTTTGCTTCTTATTTTTGCTTAGTTTTCCAATGGTGTTATTAATTCGTCCTATAAAAAAACTAGAACCAATTAAATTGAGGTCAGAAAAGTGCGCACCATACTGTAGTGTCGGTGCAAGATGAACAACACCAGTTGCTGCTTGCGACTGGACGTGGAACAACATGATTGGAAAAGTACGCGTCACTGTTGTCCGATTGGACTTATTCTGCTGCCATGTCGGTTTCAAACTACAAAGACTAGTATATCTTGATTCAAATTTCTTATTAATTTACACGCATATAGGAGTATAGCAATTGCTATCTTTGCTCTCTTTTGTTCCCGATTTATCTTTATGTGATTCATTTGATTTTCGAGGAATCGACTAGCATCTTGATATTAGTAGTACTGGTTTATCAACTTGCACTATTACAAAAAAAGCACTATAACTGCCGTTGCTTTGGAATGAACAATGATGATGTGTTACTACTACCGATTCATTAGTAGTGGTAATGTAACCGACGGTACATAAGTTTTCACTGCTGATTATTTGCAACTACTATCTCCAATCTAATAGCCTGTGACTATATAGCTTGCTAGCAAGTAATTCTAGGTCTGATGAACATGTATATTTGCATTGGTCTCCAATCCGCCGAACACCCAACAATTGCGGTGGAACAAAGTCTCCACTTTCGGCACTTAGCATTGAATTCATTTGACTGTAACACTATACATATATATAAAGGGTCTCTATAACTATATAACTACTTCAGTCATTATCAAGCATAAGATTCATAACGTACCTACTGTCCGCTCTTTGTTGTATCTGGAAAAACGCGCCTCCTTGCAAGTTTTTTTTTTACCATATATCATCTCTCTCTTTTCTCTTTTACAAAAATCTTCATTAGTTTGTCGTTATAGAGACGTGTTCGTTCAGAAGATAAAAAAGTGAAGTCAGAGCAATTTAAGTAACCAAGTTTGAGTAAACTAAAAAAAAAAGGAGAGGTGTGTCAAATTCAGGCAGCTGTATCTGTATGGGCGCAAACCACACAGGACGACCGCTGCCGCCCTACTCTCCGGTGCCGCCAGTCCAATTTTCCAGCAGTGTGTGGTAAGGTAATATATCATTTGCATGCAATGGGATCTTCAGCGAAAAATATGTACTGCTGTCTGCCTCTCCTCTTGCACAAACTGCTGCAGTACTTTTTACCCAAAGTTTGGACCGAAGACAAACTAGTCAAAAAGATTTTCAGATGTAGTCACGGATTACTTGAATTTTCCACACATGTGAACACAATCTAGAACCTGGAATCATAATGTAGAGGTGGATAGATGACGGCTTTAATTTTACCCTACTGAATTAGGGTCAAACATATATCCACCGTCTCTTCTGTCGATCACTTGTTTATATATATCACACTCCTAAATGGGGCCTAGATCAGCTGACTCGCTTGTTTACTAACTAGTGCTAGCACCTTAGCCATATGTATATGCATCTTTCTCATTCCAGTTCGACGGCTACACAAATAAATAAATTCACATAGCCCTTCTTATAATTAATTTATTCATTATTTATGATATATAGTGTTGATAATTAACTTGCTGCTCGTTTACTTCTTTCAATCAGATAGAAGTAGGATGAATGGTTCAGTCAGAGGTTAGCTTCAGCTAGTTAGTAGTCTAGTGCTAGGCATGTGAGATGGGATGTTTGTTTTAACTCTGCCCTGTGCTGTTTTTGACTTATTGTTTGTTGATCCTTCTCTGCTGCTACAAGCCAACAATGGAGTCATGACTGGGTGAGAAAAGGTCATCATCTCCTTGTCCTTGGGTTCGGTATATCTCCAATCTGATACAATTCTCTGAAGTGCTAGTGTTTTGCTGTTTTCTCCAGTCCATCTTAATGAAGGTGCTCCTGCTGTCTCTGGTCAAAGAAACAGTTCCTTCAATTCGTAGGCTCGTGTTTTCTCATGTATAGTTGTTCGGTGGCCACCCACCCACTTTGTTTAATGCTCTTAGAAGTACCTAAATTGAACTTCTACTGTAAATTATATGTTTATGTAGGGCAAGCGATACCGCCAATACGCACACGCCATGTTAGCTACTCCCCCGTTCTAAATTGTAGTTCACTTTAGATTTGTTCTAAGTTAAAACCTTTTAACTGTAACTTTAACCAAGTTTTATAGAAAATTAACGCATCAACATATACAATATAAAATTAGTTTTGTTAAATTTTCAATCAAATGTGTCTTGATAATGCATTTATTTGAACTTAGATATTAATATATTTTTATAAAAACTTTGTCAAAATTCATATTAGCTTGAACTTTTTAGGTCATCATCCCATGCACATATATATCGACTATCCATTGCTTTTTAGCTGGCAACATGCTTTGCATTTGACAAAGCTTACACAAGTAATTAGCCACACCAAACACACTCAGCCTAAATTGATATCTGCCTACGGAGCAGCTCCATCCATCCCATGTTCTTTTCTTGCACATTTTTCTTTCTCTTGACGCAGATAACAGCCGACAGTGGTATGTTCATCAGCAAGCTATAGCTTGCAGAGACTCTTCCTTCACATGTAATGCATTATTGCGATAACAGAAGGATGGGAGAAGGGTAGTAAATAAGCTGGTCACCTGCTGCAATGACATGTGTGTTGCGGCCTGATGCCTACCCACGAACTAATTGGTGATCAACACCAAATCTCTGCAGATCAGCGACATTTCATCTGTTTAACAATATACTTTCGCCTGATGAGAAAATGGAAATTAAAGCATGTCCACTCCAAGCCTTTCAGCTAAAATAATTAAGAGAGAATGTGCATTCAACTTTTTTGGTCTTGCTAGGTTGGTATCATCCAACACACACTTCGAAAAAAAATGTCACATCCCTTTCAAGTTTCAACAATTCTAGTACCATGTGCACGCAAAGCATGCAGCTACCATTCTGATTCCCAAAAGCATCTTAGCGTGAAACTGAGCTGCCTCCTCCTTCCGGCACAAACACAACAGATTAACAGCTTTGGAGTTGTCAAAGCCTTAGACATATCGTTGTACTTCCTCCAGTCACGGTCCTCAAATGACTACTAATTTTTGTTATAGTGTATTAGTGTATAATTTATAAAGTGTAAACAGTTATACTATTATGAAAATAGTCTACATATAGTTTTAGAACGTCCCAAGTGAACACATGCATCAAGTAATTTATCATGAACTTCTAATTGTTGTCTGCATGCAACTCAAAATGAAATGAAGCATTTGCTAATCGTACCATGCGCTAGTGAGGTGGGTTGTTAGTCGACGATGTGTGAACTGCATGCCTCCCTTATATAATTAAAAAGTTTAGGGATTTATTTAATAATAGCGAAATTACCATGCTTAAAACACACACCAAGTCCTCGTCCAGGTAACATGCTGCATGCATGCTAAGTAGTAGTAAGTACTCACACACTTCATGACAAGCTTGTTGTATTGTCAAGGCAACTGCTCTGACCGTGAGCGTGAGGGTGTACATTTTTGCCCTATTCACAGCAACTTAACTTTGAAGCAAAATGTCCCTCGTGCATCTCTCGCTCGAAGACACTTGACTACTGCTCCAACAATATGTTCTGGATTAGGGACTTTAAAACAAATAGATAATACTATTATATGTAATGTTGAAAGCATGGTTAATTTGTACAGGTTCAGATAAATAACCGTCACTGCTACAGTGTACATTGTGGTACTGGTAGCCTTGCATGCATACAAGTTTGACCACTCCTCAGCTCGCCGGCATACATGTCGTCTCTTATTCCAAGAGACCCATGCATTGCATGGGCAGTACTAGCAGCGCTGGCCTCTGAATGATGCTGTGCAGCTGCTGACAAAGATTTTAATCTGATAAGCAAAAAAAAAAAAAAAAAAAAATTACTGAGAGGCCGCGTTATGGGGCAACATGACTAGGTACCACACGCAGCTAACTACTAGCCTTCTCAGAGACTGATGAAGAAAGGGTAGCTTCGCTGAACCGTCCCAAGATTAGAAAATGGAAATTAAAGCATGTCGAGCATGCCCTGCATCTGTAGGGTACCTTTAGGAAACCGTGTTGCTCTTTTCTGCTTTGCCGGTGTATGAACATGCCCAAAACGTTCCCATGCATTCCGTGCATGCTGTCCTAAACTACAGCTTGCAGATCGAGATGCTTGGCAATGCAGGCTTCAACAACTCTGCATGTGTTGTCGTCATCCTAGGTACCTGGTTCTTGCTAGCTACTACCAAACTCTCGAGTGCACAATACATACACAGAACATGCGCGCTGAAGGTAAGGTACGTACCCACTTGGCTGGTTCCTGATTTCCTGTTCGGCAGGCAGCATATAACTATCCAGCTTGATTGGCGGAGGATCATCGGTTGCTTTTCAACTCAAAAGTCCAACAAAGCAGGTGAAGTCGTCGTACCATAAGTCCACACTCCATACATACATGATGTAACCAATAACCAAGCTAGCTAATCATATGTTAGTTTTTGACGCATGCATGCCTGTGCTAGACTGCTGCTAGCTTCAGTGTTATACATACAAGTTGCTGATGCTACAAAACCAAACCAGCTGCTGCCCAGGGCTTGCTTGCTTGGGCTATAAATATCCATGCATGCTCCCCAGCTAGCCATCCACACTCCACAGGCAACACGCACTGCAGCAGCAGCACTTGGTGTCTCTCTGCTACTAGCACTCTAGCAGCTAGCCTGCACATCAGATCAGATAATGATCATGGCTCCATCAGCATCACCTGCAAGACGCAGCAGCAGCTGCGGCGGCGGCATCGCTCTGCTGTTGCTGCTCGTGCTGATGGCGGCCGGCACCTCGTCGGCCCAGCTGTCCACCAGCTTCTACTCCTCCTCGTGCCCCGGCGTGTACGACGCCGTCAAGTCGGTGATGAAGTCCGCCATCGCCAGCGAGCAGCGCATGGGCGCCTCCATCGTCCGCCTCTTCTTCCACGACTGCTTCGTCCAAGTACGATACCACCGCCATCCGCCATGCACCACTCCACCATGCATCTAATCATATCAACTGTTGGACATGCATGCGTGCATGACTAACATAATTTGGTCACCGTGCATGTAGGGCTGCGACGCGTCGCTGCTGCTGGATGACACGGCCAGCTTCCAGGGCGAGAAGATGGCGACACCCAACAACGGCTCCGTGAGAGGGTTCGAGGTCATCGACGCTGTCAAGTCCGCCGTCGAGAAGGTGTGCCCCGGCGTCGTCTCCTGCTCCGACATCCTCGCCATCGCCGCCAGGGACAGCGTCGTCATCGTGAGTAGTGCTTGCACCTCTCAAGTCTCAACTGATCGATACTGTGTGAAGTGTGTGAACTGATGGATGCCGACGCTGATTGCAGCTGGGTGGTCCGAACTGGGACGTGAAGGTCGGGCGGCGCGACTCCACGACGGCGAGCTTCAGCGGCGCCAACAACAACATCCCGCCGCCGACGTCCGGCCTCGCCAACCTCACGTCGCTCTTCGCCGCGCAAGGCCTCTCCCAAAAGGACATGGTCGCGCTCTCTGGTGCGTGTGTAATATTCTCATGTTTTCCAAAAAATATTGTTTCTCAAACGCGAATATATATATGGAATTGTATTCCAAGGAGGCATATATATATAAGAAATAGCAACACGCTTTCCACGTACACTCTATTACTAAATAATGTAGCTTTGTTAGGTGGAAGATGCAGCTGGTATATATATATGTACTATCACCACCTGAATTTGATACTAGTTCCGTTTTGACTTGGAAGCTTAACTCTCTTCGTCGTTACATATCAAACTGTGACACGCATGAATAGCTTAATTTGGCAGTTAGTTAGAAAGACTACACAAATAATTAGTGTTGGCCCATGTGTGTTCATACTACTACTAGACAAATATATATATTTTAAAATTTTGTCATATGAAAGTTGGGCCAAGACAGTTATATCTGCGCAGTTACAAAAAAATGGAAAAAGAGGAGACATTAATTAAGACATATATATTGTCGGCAGGGGTTTCTTGTAGAAAATTCTTTGCCCAAAGCTTAACTTTTTGCTAATCCTGCCTCTAACTAGATAACAACTTTAGTGAACTTTCGATGGCTGAAAGATCAGTCTTCCACCTAATATCTTAATTCGACGAAATACTAAAGCATATGTATAAAGTACTTGCACATTATACACATTCCATGATACAAGTTTGGTACAAACCATACAAGTGGTTCCTTTTGTTTCACTTCGTTGCTAGAATCAGATTCTCTTTTACAAATTTAGACAATCAAGAACAGCCTGTATGTTTTTTTTTCAAAAAAGAAGAAGGTGCTTCCAAAAATTTATGTGCTAACTTAAGCGGTAAATAATTCATTTTATCCACCACCCCATTTGTAACTTTCGATCATGCGGGGGTGAGCTTCGGCTCAACTGGCCAGGCGAGGAGGCTTAGGGCCTTAAGCCGGCCGACCGGAGTTCGAGCCCCGATGGGGGCAGAATTTCCGGTACCCAACTAAAAAAATCCCCCTCTCTGTGCGGTTCCGTCCAGGCAACGGTGTACCCGCGCCGGCCTGTGATTGATCTGCTGGCACTCAGTTCTGCCCTCGGGCATGGGCCAGGGTTCGGGGGGTTTTCTGGGCCGAGATCGTTGATCCCTCCTTCTACTTGAAAGCCATGGGGGCAGTTCTTCCCCCACCGGTCCAGTTTTTTTTTTTTTTTTTTTTTTACTTTCGATCATGCAGGGTTCTCTCTATATAGTAATCTAAGTCATTAAGCATTTTTGTTTGTGTAATGCCTCTTTTGCCAGGAGCTCACACCATTGGCCAAGCACGTTGCACCAACTTCAGAGCCCACGTATACAATGACACTAACATCGATGGCACCTTCGCAAGAACAAGGCAATCAGGCTGCCCTAGAACCTCAGGTTCAGGTGACAACAATTTGGCGCCTCTGGACCTTCAAACCCCAACCATCTTTGAGAACAACTACTACAAGAACCTTGTCTGCAAGAAGGGGCTTCTACACTCCGACCAGGAGCTCTTCAATGGCGGAGCCACCGATGCGCAAGTTCAATCATACACTAGTAGCCAGAGCACATTCTTCTCAGATTTTGTGACGGGCATGATAAAGATGGGTGACATCACACCGTTAACCGGCTCCAATGGGCAGATCAGGAAGAACTGCAGAAGGGTTAACTAATAAGAGGCGGTGCACACTATCTAGTAGCAAGGGTTTTCAGTGTAATGTCCTTAAGTTAATTTGTAATATGTCTACTTTCACAAAATTGTGATATCATCATGTTGTACCAAGGTGTTGAGATGTTGTTCATTTAAATAAGTAATCCATCATTTGTTCTTTACACAACCTTTTTCTTGAGTTTATTATTATACATATATGCTTTTGCATGATAAATAAATGCTGTGAAGTATTCAAAGTAAAAAGGATGAACTGTTAAAACTAACATATTTCTGGGGTTTGGCATGAACTGTTAAAACTAACAGCAAGCTAAATAATAGCAGTATAGATCAATAGGTGAAAGTACAAGAGAAAGCAATCCAGTTTGATTGGCAAGCCTGTATTATTTGGAACTCATTACAACAACACGCGAAATAATAGCAGTATAGATCAATTAATAGGTCAAATTAATCATGGAAACACCGAAATAGACAGGCTCCAAGAGCATTTAGAAAAATAGATACACAGAATGGCTTACTCAGGAAATATGTTTCTGGGGTTCAGTCATAGAGGCGAAAGGCTCCCTGAAAAGAGCAAAATAGTCACATTTCGCCTAGTGTGCACTTGTGGTAGCATGCAAAAACAATTTTACTAAATTTCAGAATTTCTTCTCCATCCTTTCGCACAACTCCTATGTATGCCACTATTAATGATTTTTTCAACCAATCCATGGAATTTCCATGCTCATTTGTGATCAAAACAGGAAGAATAGCGATGCATCAAACTACCTGAAAAGGGGTGGAGGCACGGAAACGGAAAGCGAGTCCAATAGCTCTACCACTCGTAGAAAATGGATGAGGACATGCTGCAGCTGGAGAGTAATTATTTCCGAGATGGCAAACATGCAACAGGAGTTCTCAGAAGCAAGTGTGACACTCTTGACAAGGCTACTATACAGGATTTCTACCTGACCTGACCTGATGACCCCAACTAAACTCAAAGTACCACTATATTCAGGAGTATTTGGTTCAGAAGCCAGTATTTGATTAGAAGCCGCAAAGTGTGTTTCCAAGGGGATGCAACTTACCAGGAACAGAGTGCCTGCTTCTCCTTGACGGTGTCGCTGCAGTGTCTGGCGGCGGCAGCCCGACAGCGTCTCGGTGCAGTCGTTGCCCTGCAGCCCCTTCCTTGACCATGACCACATCCCAGCAGTGGCCACTCTGCCCCCCCTGCGATTTGGCGGCAGACGGCGGCCCCGACCTATCTCCCTCCCTCCTTTAGGTCCTCCCGGCGGTGCGGCACACGCACATTGCGGGAGAGCCCGTGAATGGCCATGGATGATGGACCCTCTGCTCTCGCCTGCCTCCTCTCAATATCATCGCTATGGGTCCTTGGATCGGAATTGGACTTGGACGTGGGTGATGAAAGGAAAGTCACGGTATGACTTGATAGAAGAAGTCACTGAATCTGAATCCCAATCATGCCATAATTCAGTGAACTAGAACATCAGGCACCCTCCACTGACTTAAGAACAAAAGCGAATCTATATTTTACTGACATGGTTTTATAACTAAATATGGTAATGCTAAGATTAAGCACATATTACCTCTGTTCTAAAAAAAAAGATGAAATTCTAGCTGTTCAAGTCAAAAAGCTTGAAGTTTGACCAAATAAATACTATTAGATTCATCATAAAATATCTGCAATAGCATTAAGAACACAATGTTTTATAAGCTAACACTGGTACATGTAGTCATTCTAGGTTTCTCAATATCATCGTAGAGTCAGCAGCTAAGATTAGGATTGGTGTATCTATAAGAGGTTTGTTTTTTATCACTTGGGGTACCGCCATTGTCTGTGCACACATCTGCATTTCTGTTCACTTGACAGATCCTGTTTTTTTTTTTAAATTTTATTATTATCACCACTTGACAGATAGCAGCAAGCTGTTTGTTCAACAGACAACTCCGTTCCTTTCTAGCCACTACATATTGTACAACAATTGTCAAATAAACAGTAACAATAACGAATCAATGTAAGAGGAACTACTTACATTGGTTAAAGTTGACATCTTCAGTATGTGAACCGCTAATTGTCTCTCCTGACATCTTCACACATAGTGACAAACGGGGCATCCACATGAATATAAATATTGGAAGGAGAGGGTTAAACAGTCACAAAACTTTCCAATCAAAAGACTCCTCTCGAGTCTAACCTGAAGTTGTTTGACATTCTAGAGTGGCAATTGAAGCACAAAAAAGTTCCTTGGTAGAGAAAATCATGTTTCACTTCAATTGAATTTGCTCCTGCAAAATTATTGGCATGGGCAACCACCATAAATAGCCTCACATGATCAGAGGCATCGTTTATTCCCAGATGTGCTTTAGGGTATGTTTCTCCTCTTCAGTTCTTGGTAATGCCATTCTTCATATTGAGTGCCTTGACAAATGGTCTTTCCTATGTCTGCTAGTTTCTGAGACGAAGCGATGTTCTATTTCCATACTTCTAGAGTCGACAACATATCACATCAGTTCTTATCAACATTTCTTCCACGGAAAAGTATCTTAAGCTGACCATCGAAAAGCACCATCTCTCGTTGGGAAGGCATAGTACACCAAGCCACACTCCTACAGCACAGTACATAGCAAAGAAGTTTGAATTGTCACCTATCTAGTTCTGAACTATGGAGAACATTTAATGGGCACCATTATCACAGGGATTGCAAACATATGATCCGTCATAATGCTTTTTCCAGATCAGCAAGTACCACAACCTGAAGAAAATAATTAGTAGTATATTTGCAAGCAATTTGGATACAAGTTGCAACTCAGTCACATCGTCCAATTCTACTGAATTTCAAATCAAGCAATTAAACATCCATAGCTGCACAAATTCACTAAATCTGAAACAAATTTTGCAGTTACCTAATCCAATAGATGCTCACCCATAGTAACTGACAAACCAAATTAACTGCATCAATAACAACATACCATGTTTACCAAAGCAACAAAACAGACAATGGAGATTGCTAAGAAACAACCATTCATACAAGCACAAAATTTCATTCATAAATGGTTTTGAAAAGACTATCCATTGAAATGAAACTCATCCAAAGGAATCAAGGAGTTAAAATACTGGGCACTAAAGATAAGTCGATTCATTCACACCAGCCTAAACACTTGCACATTGTGGCTACTTGCCTTCGCAGTTATAGGTGTTCAGATTTCCCTTGTCGCTGAACCTGGATGCGTTCTGTGCTCAGGCAATACAACAAACAGGTTGCAAGCATAGTAGGCAGATGAATAGGCGATGGGAACAAAGGCGGCTAGGACCAGGGTCACCATGCGACAGCTTAGCTTGTGGATGACGGGAGCACGGAGACAATGCCCTATTCCCAGATCCCGGTGAAGTGGCTACGCGTTTCGTACCGTGGTCGTGCGAGTACACTTGTAGTGTCGTCGTCATTCGAAAAGCCGATGGCTGAGGCTGCTCTCACGCCGACGCGAGGAGCTCCATCACACTACCAATAAACAACACTGATGCTCCAAGAAGAACATAGCAATGAGCGCAATAATCCACAGAGCACAACCAGAGCGTACCGTACGGGGAGGGAGCATGCACCCATGTATGTGGATGTCGCCGTAGAGCAGGAAGACGACACGCGCCCGCACCACCTTGAACCTCGAACAGTCGAGCGTGCTAACGACCGGATCCGGCGTCATTTGATACAGACAACCGTGGATCTGGCCGCCCTCTCCATGGATTTGGTCTCCTCGCGTCTTGGATTCGGCCGCAGATCCTCACGAGCTAATTAACGGAACCTCCACGGCATGGATCCATCAAAAGCGCTGGTCATCCCTGGAATGCCACCGCGCACGAGCTCGATGGCGGAGACCGAGCCGTCTCCCAGACTCCCAGAGGCGGAGAGAGATGGAATAGAAATAGAGCGAAGGGGCAATGGGAGATGAGGCTGCCTCTTGTAGGGGGCCACGGCTAGGCGGAGGAACGCCTGTGGAGGAGGTGGAGAACCGACGGCGGCGAGCCAGGAGGCGTGCACACGACATGCGAGGGGCATCGGCGGCCAGGAGAAGAGAGAGAAATTAAGGAGAGTGAGGAATGAGGAGGCAGTTAGGGTTCGGGCCGGTGGAGGGGTCTCTCTGCAAAATCGCGAGCGGGTTTGCCCCGATAGCTGGATTGATAAGCCATGGCTACCGTTGATTGATTCGTTGCGACAAAAAATATTATTTATTAACTAAAAAAGTACGGCTTATAAGTTAAGCGAACGAAACGGTTATGAAAACTTGAGCCAAGTCTCGAATTTTGTCTTCTTCGTGTCAGATTAAAATTTACATCATAACTACAGGTTGGTTTCCATAAAACTGGAGGTCTTTTCTATAAAATAGGCAGCGATTTGTGTCGGCTTGTCGATGAGCCGCGGATCCCAGAATTCTCTGGTGCAAGCGGAGACAAGTGGGTTTTAAACGATCATCATACCAGAATAGATGGCATTGAGAACGCATGGCGGCGGCCGTGCCGGTGCTATTGCCGTCAACTGATTTTCTAGAAGCCTTTGACCATAGTCCACCACTATCGGGAACCTCAAATTTGCCGATTGTTTTTATGTTTGTCGAGTGCATTTCCTCGGGCACTCGGTAAATAAATTCTTTACCAAGTGCTATCCTAAAAACACTCGGCAAAAAAAACACTCGGCAAATAGAGGGTTTACCGAGTGTCACAAAAAAACACTCAGTAAAAAGGGAGGTTTGCCAAGTGTCAAAAACAACACTCGGCAAAGAAAAAAATGTAGAAAAAAAACCCACGCGTGCCCCTAAAATCCCGCCCCTCCCCTCTCTAGCCCCACTCCTCCCACACTCGCCCTCCCTCCCCACCCCCCTTGCCCCCCCCCTCCCTCCTCCTTCTTCTTCCCCGACAGTGGCCCCCCCTCCTCCCTCCCCTCCTCCCCCACCGTGACCCCCCTCCCTTCCTCCCCTTCTTCTTCCCGTCGGATCCGGCCCCTCCCCCCT